CGAACACACCTTGCACGAGTGGCGCAGTGGCAACCACATCCCAAGAAGAGAAAATCGTCTAAGTCCACNCAATGAGGAAACAGCTTGCTTACTAAGTGTTTAGAAAAAAAAATCGTCCCGGGCGTTTGTCAATCGAAATAAACCTTGAATGACCATTGATCAATCGGAACTTGTCTTGTCCATCTGCTTCTACCCACCAAGTTGTCTCATTGCTTCGCTGACTCGTCTTATGGCGCTGCCATTTGACATACCAATCAGAGCCATGTAGCCCTAGAGAGTCAAAGCCAAATAAGTTTCGTATGGAAAAGAAATGGGATTTATTTCAAAATAAATGATTTTCTGGTCTTTGGGCTGCTATGGCATCCACAGGAAGCGTATGAACACAAGAGCACCCTCGTTTGATCCGCAAAAATTTAGCGCTTCTGCTGTGCTTGATTTGAAACGCACAGCAGACAGAATCGCCGAGCACGACCCGAAATACTGACTGCCAATTAATCGCACCTGCCTCAATCCCAAGAGCAATATGTTGTTACAAAAAGGGAATACATATGTTACTTTCAAGGAGGTGACCGAACTATCCCGCTGAACAACATATTAAGGTACATTCGATAACACCTTTTCATCTGACAAAAAAGTAACCCACACACACACACACACACACACACACACACACACACACACACACACACACACACACACACACACACACACACACACACACACACACACACACACACACACACACACACACACACACATTGACGCCTTGAGCTCTTTTTTCTCGTTTGACCCTCGGCAGTGGTTCGGGTCATACGGGAGGCCAACGGCTTTGGAAATCTGAGCAACATGGCGCTTCCCGCAAAGGAGATGAAGAGGTCGAAGACGGCCAGGAGCCAGAGAGGGCCAGCTACGCGAGAGGAGACCCCGTGACGACACTATGAAGCTTTACTGGATCTGCCGTCCGAGGAGGCGAGTTCAGACGAGAAAGAAGAAGAGCAAGGACCTCGATTCAGGGCGAAATTTTTGGAAAAGCTGAAGACGACGTCCACGGCAGACGTCATGCGGTGGACAAGGATGTGCCTGAAGCGGGCGGAAAGCGAGCGCACCAGGCTCAACAGGCAGCTGGCGGTCAGCGAGTTCAAGCTGTTCCTCAAGCGCCACGGAAAAGGAGCCACGATCAGAACAGCGAAGAGTCAGCACGTCGCCATGTTCGTTGTTTTACTACAACGACTGGCCAACGTGGCGCCAGCTACCGCGATGAGGCGGGTGTCAGACCTGTCCACCTACTACCAGCTGCGAGGGTGGACCAACCCGTGCCTCATGGCAGACGGCTGCAGACCACTGGTGATCCAGAAGGTTGGACGCGGAATGGAGAGCGCAATGAGCCACAAGCACACGCAATTGACCATGGAACCCGTGAGACTCCACCACATCAGACAAATCATCGAGGGCAGCAAGACGACGGCCCGGTCGGAGGCGTTCATGGTGGCGATGGTGGTCATGTACGCCAATGCAAGATGGCCGCAGACCCTCCTCGGGTTGCGCACGGCGGACATTGTCGAGATCAAACCAGGCCTGGTCATCTACCAGCAGTCCACCAAATTGGTGAAGATCAAGCCTGAGAGATTCATTGTATCAGACCCGCCTCAGGACGACAAGGGCAACTTCCTGCCAGCGACGTGGCTCGCACAGCTGGTTCGGAGGATGAAAAAGCAGGGCAAGGACAAGGTCTTCGACGAAATCACGTACAAAGGGTTTGCCGAGGAGCTTGGTACAGCCGTCAAGGAGGATTGCCCCGATCTCGACCACGAGAGGGTGAAGCCGGGGTCGATGCGCCACGGCGCGGTGACCGACTTGAGGGCCGCAGGCCGCAGCATCGCCGAATTGAAGCAGCTTGGCCACTGGACAAGGAAATCCACGCCGCAGCACTTTGCGCAGCTGTCACAGGAATCGGCGAGCGCCGTCCTCCAAGCCTGCATGGCTGTTGGCCGGTCCAAGGTGCACGGACGTTGAAGGACAGCCAGGAAGAGGCCACCAATTCCGCTGAAAACGCTGCCGTGAATCTACAGTCACACCTGGCCGTGGTTACCAAGATGTGAAGTGTTTTGCCCTCTCCTTGAGCCCTGAAATCTTTTAGCCATATCAGGACCCACTTAAGAAGGAGCGGAGCCTTGTGGAAAACTCGTGTCGATTTGTTATTGTTGGTTATTGTTCATAGCGCTGTTGTCCCCCTTCGGGCCACAGCACAGTCACGGTCTGTCTGTACATGAAGTTATTTTCGTCAATTCTGGCCTCGCGTTCTGAGCTCTTGAGTTTTCTATGCCTGCAGCGGTTCTGAATAGCGAAGGCCCCAGCCCTTAGGGAAAGAAAGGGGATCCCCTTGGGCGTAGCTGTCGGAAAAAACCCAAAATTAGTCATATCGTCCACATTTGGATGATTTGTCCCTTTTTGGTTGCTCTGCCTAAAAATAAACATCAAAAAAGAGGGCGGTGATCATGAAAAGAGAGAGAGAGAGAGAGAGAGAGAGAGAGAGAGAGAGAGAGAGAGAGAGAGAAGTGCATTTGCTGGAGCTCGGCAGAGGTGCTGGAGCTGGAACAGGACGCCAGGGGTTGGGCTGGAGCATGAGTTGGAGCTAGAGCTGGATTGCGAGTTTGTGCCGCAACAGGACCAGGGCAGAGCTGGAGCCTGCGAGGACTCAGTTCGTGAAGGGCCTCAATCGGGGTGGTCAAACGAGGGGAGCGGATGTGCTTGTGCCAGGAGGCTCAGGCAGAGGGCAGCTCAACCATGGCGACGGCAGTGCTACGTCGTGCCTGTTATGATGTGGGGTCTGGCAAAAGCAAGGTGGGTGGAAGCCTTGTCATGATGCACTTGTCGTGATGCAGCCGGCAGGTTTATGAACCACACTTGCGTTGAATGTGTAGATGAGCGTTGTCGAAGTTCGGGATGGGCAGCTTGAGCGCGTCGTCTTCTCTAAGCAGGTGAGGGAACGACTCAAGCACTGGATGGTGTGCAGCCAAGTGCCTTGGCTCTTGTTGATGGTTGGCTTACAGGGTGCATTTCTCTTTTGTTGCCGTATCTCTTTGGGTCTGGCCTTCTCCCGCTCGTCGGTGATGCTGTCGCTGTAGTATGACGTCCAGTACAGCCACGATCTAGCAAAGAACGGCAATGGCCAGCTTTCCTCGGAAATTTTGAGTGTTGGCATGGAAGCCCTCGCTCAGCTCCAGGTCCATCACTGTGCGCCGTTCGGACCTGATGCGCGCAAGTCACCTTGATTCTCCGTACCAGAGACTGACCTTGCCGTGATCCTGTGCATGCGCCTTTCCCACGCTCGACAGAAAGAGGCACAGGCACATGGTGCAACAGTTTCGGCAGGTGTTGCCACAGCGGTTCGTTAGCCATGCAATTCCATTTTCTCTCCAAGAGATCTTCCTTCCCAACTGCAAGCCAAAATCGGTTTGACCCAGTTGACAGGCTCTCGCCAGCCGGCTACCTCTGCAAAGCAGACCACTGATCACCCGCTGACCTGAGGCATGTCTGATGCTCTTTTCCCCCATCCCTATGGGGTCTGGTCATTTGTCAGGTATTCCGAAAGGCCAGCAACGGCTTGGCGTTTCTGGCGGACGTGCGTCGGAAGCTGCAAATCAACGTAGACGTGGTAGGGCCTTTTGTCACCCTTTGCCAGCGCACATGTACCAGCCAAGTGTGCGGGCAGATCAGTTGGCTCGCTCACGACCTTTGTGGCCAGGTGTCCCAAGCTGTTGAAGGTTATCTGGGTTGGCGCACGGCGCAAAGCTGTGTGTCAGCCAATCGTGGTAGGTGTCGGCTCGACGCGTGGTGACCCTGTTTCACAGTGGGGGTTCATCGATGCTTTTTCTCCGCCACCATGCCATTGTTGTGGCTTGACAGTGTCTGCAGCGCATCTAGTTTCCTACGACTCGGGTGCGGGTAGTTTTCAAATTGCCTGCCTAGCCGATTCCGCACTTTCCTCTACTCCCGACAACCTACTGGTCCACGAGGGCCCGTGCGGCTCCATCTTGGCGTTGGAAAAGCTGGTCTGTGGCGTCCGCCACCAGCACATGCGCGACGTGCTCTCCCCCAACCCCGTCAGTCCGGATGAGGCGGCTCAGGTCGGGGCCCTCTTGCACCGACACTTGGAGGACAGCGACTGCACCATGCCGCCAGCGTTGCGCGAGCGCCTAGATCACCCAAAGACCGTGGCCGTTTCCATTGGCGAAGAAACATCCATTTTCAACGTGGCCTGTCTCTTCCTTGATGGCGACAACGTTTTGACCCCAGACAAGGTGGGTGCAACTTCCTGCCCACACCTCAGACCGTGCATGCACTGGAATCAATTCTTTTCTGATCAATTGGTCTCGTAGGTACACCAAGCCATGCTTCGGGCCACTGGCAAAAGTGATGCAGAGCTCAAGAGCATTTGTGAGCTGGAGCCTTACCTTATTGTGCCCAAGCTGTGCCTCTTGGAGACGGTCCTTCGATGGGCTGGCATTGCACAGGTTCGAGCTTGTTGAAACGCGAAAGACGGATTTCTGGTGACCCACTTGATCCGGTACCACATCCACGCGGTGCGGCTCAGCCGTCTGATCTTTGAACATTCTCTCACACAAGACTCGCGGGGGGCGCATCCAATAGCTCGAGTATCATTGTGTCATGGGCAACTGTATTGGTGTTGCCCTGTACGAAGCCCTCTGGGAGCAGGCGCCGGCAACTCTGTAGCTGTGCAGACGCTCGGCCCATGTCATCGTTGCCAAAGGAAATGAGCCAGTACCTGCACGCCGATCCAAATGCACGCCGATCCAAGGGATGCGATACATGGAAATCAATGGTCGGACAATCACTGTCAAAGTCGCAATAGACACTCAAACAAGTCAAACGAGTTTGGATGATAGACAAGGTTGACATGCTCGTGCAAGGATATTTCCCGAGTGCGAGGCAACCATCCGATCAGGCGGTCGCGACAGAGGGTTGTGGTTGAATGAGCGCGTTCCAGGGGTCGCTGACAGCTGCTTCAAGCGTACGCGCATCTAGCTCAAAAAATCGCGAGTGGGCACCGCTTGCTGCAGCATGATGGTCGCTAGGGTTGCGGTCGCGGAGACTTTGTTCTTGAACGGCCATGGCTGGAAACGCAGCCTGCTCGTCTGGGTTGAGCAAGGCCTGCCAGGGGTCTCGCACCGCAGCAAGGATGTCAAATGCGATGGGATGCCCAGCACCACCACGTGACTGGAAGTCGTGGCGTGGCCGCTGTTGATGATGACCAAAGCCCCCTCGACCATGCCCCCGCCCATGACCTCCTCGTCCATGACCTCGTCCATGGCCTCGGCCTCCACGACCCCGTCCGCGACCACCGCGTCCCGCACCCGTTGGACCATGGCCACCGTGCCGAGGCTGAAAGCTCGGAAACGGTGGCGGGACGCCTGGAGCTCCACTCATTGCAAAGTGCCGACCATTTCCACCAGCATCACCACCGCCGCTGCCGCCCCCTCGCCACTTGGCCATGACGTCGAAAAGGTTGAAAAAAGAAACAACATGAGCATGTGAGAGAGAGAGAGAGAGTTTGAGAGAGAAAGAGAGAGTTTGAGAGATTTTGAGAGATTTTGAGAGAGTTTAAGAGAGTGAGAGGGTTTGAGAGAATTTGAGAGTTTGAGTTAAGTTTGAGAGAGTTTGAGAGAGAGAGTTTGAGAGGAGAGAATTTGAGAGAGAGTTTGAGTTTGAGAGTTTGAGAGAGAGTTTGAGAGAGAGTTTGAGAGAGTTTCAGAGAGAGTTTGAGATCGAGAGATCTCGAGTTTGGAGTGAGCGAGTTGAGGAAATCTTTGCTCACTGGTTGTGGTGGCAGACGGCATCATGGGACGGCGATTTGTGTTGCTGGTGGCGGTGTTGTTGGTGGCGGTTGGGTTGGCTGTGGCGGATTACGGCTGCGATTTTGCGCAGTGGTATCCACGCCAGGTACGTACAGGTGTTTGCGCTGGCGCATGCCATCATGGTTTGCGCCAATTCACCAAGTGTTGTTTGGGGGTTGTTGTTGTTGTATAGTATGTGGCCTACAAGGCGAGCACCGGGCCCACCATGGATGGTCGGTTGGATGAGCCCTTTTGGCAGGCCGTCCCCTGGACCGAGTCCTTTGTTGACATTTCTGGTGCCACCGTCAATCAACCACGCTTCGATACTCGCGCCAAGCTGCGCTGGACAGAGGACACCCTTTACGTCGCTGCCCAGCTGGAGGAGCCACAGATCTGGTCAGAATCAATCACGTGCCACCCTCCTGGTCTTGTTGCCTTGTCAAATTCTGCTGGCTTTGCCGCATACTTGGAGACTCAATGGCTGGTGGTGTCTGCTTATGGGGCATGATCTTGCTGACAGGGCTACCCTGACAGAGCACGACTCCATTATTTATCACGACAACGACTTTGAGATCTTTTTGGACCCGGACCGTAGCAGCCATTACTACAAGGAATACGAGATGAATGCCTTGAACACGTCCTGGTCTCTTTGCCTCAACAAACCCTATCTCAATGGTGGCTACGAAAACAGCTCACGTGTTTTTGGCAGCAAGGGGTGCGTGGTGCAGCCAACCGCTTTAACCTGGGGCTCACTGGTACCTACTCAACCTATTCACTAACCATGAGGGCCCATGGCCTATTCTTTCAAATGCTGTAGCTGGGATGATCAAGGTCTGCGCTCAGCCGTCTACATCAACGGCTCCCTCAATGACCCGGCAGCAGCGAATCACTACTGGAGCGTCGAAGTGGCCTTTCCTTTGAAGCACATTGTGTACAACACCACCTTTGCCCTACCCATCCGCGATGGCGATCTATGGCACTTTGATCTCAGCCGCGTTGAGTGGCGCGTGGAGGTTGTCAACAACACCTACCAGAAATTACCCAACCAAAACGAGTATAACTGGGTCTATGCGCCCACGTATGTGGTCGACATCCACCTGCCTGAGCTCTGGGCCAATCTGCAGTTTAGCACGGCCAACCCCAACGGCACTGCGCCCGCCACGGTCGATCCCGACGTAAGCACCCCACTGACCTGCCGTGACCTATCCTAGTTTGCTCAGCAGAAACTCATCAGCGCTCATGTTTCATTCATTCGTTTTTTTTTTTTTTGTTTTCTTTTTGTTCTCGCGTTCCCTTGGTGGTTGGTGTAGTGGAACATCCGTTTCATGGCCATGCAGACGTACTACGCCCTGGTCGGTAGTCTTGCTTTTGCCATTGTATGGGTGCCTGGCCGTCTGCATCGCTTGGCTCTCAGCATGCCCATTTGCCTTTGCCGCCTGTAATGCGTGATGTGTGCGTAGCTGGCTTGGCAGTCTGCACACGGCTCTTACACATCTTCTGTGGATCACCTTTCGCCTTACGCGCCCGTCCCACCGGCACTGCAAGCCGACTGCGTATGTCTCGTTGCTTGATCCTCCTTGAACTCCATGCAATGTCTTCCTTTGCAAAATTCTCTCTGCCTTTACGCTGCACTTCTGTGTCATTGCTGATGGTTCCATGCGTAACAACTGTAGGCTTCAATCAAGGTCGATCTGCCCAAAGCTGGCGGTTTCCTGGTGTCCGTGGAGGATCACAAAACCAAGCGCATTGCGACTGTTCGAGATGATCGCCTTCTCTTGGTCAAGTAAACGGCCTTTGTGCACGACGTCAAGAGTGTAGTCATGACATTTTGCCCAGCCAATTCAACGTTGGAAAATAGGTTTCTAAAACCAATTCGATTGGAAACAGAGGAATTATGCGCGAGCGCCGCAATGGGTGCTGCAAGAGCTGCGAGGCGAGATGAACTTGAAAATGGGCCCGGCCAGATATGGGTGGTAACAGCATCCTATCGCTGCGGCTTCCTCGGCGCTTCCGTTTTAGCCACTCAGTCCATTGAGCTGGCCAGATTGGTCGAGGGTTGTGCAAGGCTCTGCTGAAGCTGGCTTAATACGCTCTCATCGACTTGTTGCATAAGCATCGGGTATTGTTGGCTAAACTGCTGAACCTGTTCTGCAACATAGCGTCGCACAATCAGGCCTCCGGTGGGGGCTTCCGAGTCACGCTATATTGTAACGGCACAAGGTCGCAGTGAGGTTTGTTGCTTAAAGGCTGGAGGAAAGCATTGCAGTAAAGTCGCACGGCCGTCGAACCTTAGCCTGACGAAACGTTTGACAGGCGCGCAAATCAGCATACTCTGACAGCTCGACAAACATCAGATCCGAGTCCAATACCATCTCGCCCCTATTTTAAAGTGTCATACAATACCAGGATTTAGCACATTCAAAGACTTGCTGTGCCCACCGCACAACACGCAAAGAATTGAAGCGCCCAGCCCAAAAAATCTGGTTGCCAAAGCTGCGGCGTACGCACCGGAAATGAAACGTCAGAATAGCCGAAGACAGCACGCCAAAGATGGCTGTCAACTGAGGCACCGTCGATTCCTGCGTGTAGTTGACGTTGAGTGAACGACCCTTTTCACGCATAACATGAACCATTTGCCCAGATGTGAATTGCAAACTGTACCGTATATGCATTGAGTGCATTGGCCAGTGTCAGCACAACCAGCTTCTTGGTGCTGTTGACCACCATGCTATCGTACTATACACGCGGCAGATCAGGGTGGGTGGTAAGCATGGGCGATCGGGAGCGGTCAAAACAGGCAGCAGGTCACGACAGGCAGCAGAGCGCTGCTACCATCGCAGCAGGTCTGGTGCACAATATAATTTTGCTCGTTGGCTTTTCCAGGTGCCCTGGATTGCGAATGACCTACGTGATCGCACAAAGTGGCCCAAAACTGGGTACAAGCGTCGTTGCTCGGAACCATCTGCCGAAAGTAGTCGGGGTACTGCACGGCAAAGCGCGCGGTCACGCTGATCATGGCGTTGGTAAACGGGCGGTCGGGCTGCGTATGTTACAAAAAGGAAGCATGGAGTTGGTGAAATCAGGGATTAACTGACGAATGACGAATTTGAACAATTGATTCCCAAATTCATGAAGACCAAGGTCAAAGGCCGCAGTAGAACGCATGCCAACGCACCGATTGTTCAGTGATGATTCGCGTAAAGAGCTGGCCTCCGAAGGGAGCCAGCCCCTGAGCCAACCCAGGTAACCCCAAGGCATTCTGAAAGACCTGCACCATTTTATTTGTATTTGAGCACCCCAATGCCGAGCACGCAGAACAGCGAAAGCGGAACAACAGGAGTGCCAAAGATCAACCACGCTGGTGTATTGGCTCACCCTTGTCACTAGATCCAGTTGTGACCGTGGAACGGTGGCAAAGAGTTGCGGCAGGCTGGCACAGATATGGGAATACAGTTGCTCAAGGCGAGCGTCCTCAAAGAGCAGGTAAGACTCGAGGATCAAAATGCAGGTGCGCACGTTGTCATTTGCTAAGTGGGGCAAATTAGCAGAGAAGCACGGTGTTTCATGAGTCTGTGCCAACGCAATGAGCGGTCGCCGATAATAATTACGCAGAAAAGCTGGCGGTGCCGTTCGGCTGGCACCACAAACCTTGCTGCAGCAGAGTTGGCAGTGCCTCGTAGAGACCCAGCACTTCATCCGTTAGAGAAGGCAACACCTTGAGCAGCTCGTGCCTAAGCATACACAGAAATGTGAAGCGAAACTTTTTCGGGGTTGGCTTGCAAACGCATGCTTGTCCCGGCCCTCTTTGTTGGACAGTAGAACCCACCAAAGAATCACGACATCGTCGAGCAGATACACGTGTCCGCCTTGCTGAAGATCAGTACCATATTGAATCAAGGGCACTGACATTTGCACCAGCTGATCATTGGCCACGTTGGCAGCCTGCACGATAAAACGAGGTATTGGATTTACGATCTCAAGATGCCGATATGCAGGGCGCAAAGGTATCACTTCAGGAGAGCTGGTGGCAGCAGAAGGGGTACCTTGATCAGTGTAACCATGAAGCGGACAATTTGGGTCTGTAGCAGCGCATGGTCTTGCGATTGCTGCCAGAGAACGGGAAGGTACTCGACCAAAGCTGTGGAGAGGTCATTGAGCTAGGGCGGGTCGAGGCAATGTGAGAAAGAAGGAGACCAATGGCACCGCGAGCGCATAACTCAGGCACGGTAGGCGTACATGGTCTTGCATACGATAGACAACTTCAGTGATACAGGCTAGGACGTGGATCTTCACGCTGGCATCCTCAACGGCATCCAAAAGCGCAAAGAGCCAGGACAATGCATTCTATTGAACAGACAGCGTGGTCATGCTGAGCAAGGCGGGGACCAGTCATTCGATGGTCGAGGCTTTCCAGCAACCCACCTTGAGCAACGGCAAAAAGTCCTCCTCTGCAAAGCCCACATCTTGAGCAAACTCCTTGAGAGTGGCACAAGCTGTCAAGCGAATAGCCACGTCCGAGTGACTGCCGATGGTAGAGATGAGCAACCTGAGGTTCGGGCAAGCAGCGAAGAAAGAATTAGCGACATAGGACAGGTCCGTTCTTATTCCAGCCATGTTTGCGAGCGAAGCGTACTCATAGATGGCAGGGCGTGGCTCCTTGGCAATGTTGATCGTGGCGTAGGCGCGGCAAAGCAATAGAATTCGCCGTTGAAGAACTGTGCCATCCTGGCTGCCAGTTTGAGCTGAAAACTCTTGCAAAAGCTGGCCGAGAACGTCGTTGATGTTCAAGTGACGACGCAGAGCGTACGCGCCTGCACATGGAACATGGGGCACAAACCAAGAGTGAGTTGCTTTTATTTGCGGGCAACAAGCTGCCGTGGCGACATGCTCAACCTACTCAGGGCCACCGCATTGTACACGGCGTCTTTCATAGTTAGCGAGGATGTCGGCGCCAGCGCTTCCTGCATCAAGCTGAGAAGGTAGGGTGCGAGACCATCGCCATTCATGTCCAGCAAGGCTTGATAGAGATGCTCTGCACATGGCTACACGCGTGGGGCAGCAGTCCAACGTTGAACCGTGCAGTCACCTAACATGCCAGTCGATAGATGTGCAGGAAACTTGATACCTTCATGACGTAGCGCCAGCCATCGCCAATATCCTCGGTGGCAAACAGCTCAGGATCTGTCTCCCATTGCTCACGTTCCTATGACGTAGCGGGAGGTTGATCAACACAGCTTTGAGCCTGAGCGTTGAGTCTTTGAGATGGTTCGCGACCGCCAAGAGCCGTTGGCAGTCAGATGAACGCACCTCAGTAGATGTGGGTAAGTAGTTTTGAATCAACAGCAAGAGAAGCTGCTCTTGCTTCTGTCAGGCATGAATGGCAAACAGAAGAATGCCGTCGAGCTATGAGCATGCACAAGAGGAGAAGAATGTTTGCGACCGCATGCGACTGATGCAGCTCAACGAACGTTGTAGTCCAAGGCCGACTGGAGCGCAAGTGCAGCTTCGGACTGCACTTCTTTGCGTGGCTCAATCTGGTAATCGGGTGCCTTGATGATGTCGCGCAACTGGATCAAGAACCCGATCAGGCGCATAACACAGATGTAAGCTCAGAGAAAGACATTCAAAACTCTTGCTGAAGCCTTCAAGGAAAGTTGTGGTCATACCAAGAGCATGGCGGTCGTTAAAAACTTGGAGGATAAAGGGTGGCCTGCGTGCATGGGAGAGCGAGAAAGAAAGAGGGAAAAAGACAGGCAGATAGACAAGGCAGAGATGGAGGAAGAAGCGACAGGTGAGTATGCCCAGAGAGTCGGGTGTTGCAAAGCGGGAATTCAGGAGGGCTTTGATGACCTACGCGCATCGGCCGGCGGGAAGATACGTGCACCGTAAAAGTCGACGATGACGCTAAGGTGACGAGCAAATTGTGTGGGATGATATGTGTGTGCTGCATTGACCTATGTGGTGTCAGCAGAAAGAAAAAAGACACAGACAAAATTCATTGAGTGCTTTACGCTTGACATCAATATGGCGGGTGGGGGGTTGCGAGAGAGGAGTCGTGCAAGCGAGCCGAGACCGTTTTGTGAACAAGAATGCAAAACTTGGTGAGAAGTTCGCCCAAGGGATCGGCATCTGGATCCTCCAGCGCAAAGTCTGTGTCAAATTGAAGAAAGGGAAGGCCATTTCGAAGCGCAAAGGTATGTGCCACATCAGTCGAGGGGCAAGACCGCCAGATGAACAAATAGTCTGAACCCTCGGCTTGTGTTTTGGGCTAAGACATAGTCAGCCAAACGTACAAAAGTCGAGAAAGGATGACTCGTGCTGCAAGAGCCGCTCCAACAGCCCGAGGGCGTCAACTTGGGCAGCAAAATCCTAGGTCAAGTGGCCAGGTTGTTTTTTTGGTTGGTACAATGCATTTGAATTGGCGCCGTCGCGAGATGCGCGGGGAAGAGCCCAAAAGTTGGCAAACCTGAACGCCCCAGGCAACAAACTGCCGGATGGTTTTGAGGAGGAGACGGGCAAAAGTCAAAGCCTGAAGATTGAGAGCTCCTGGGCTGCCCGCACGCAATTGTTCCTGAAAAAAGGAAAAGAAAAACGGAGACACCACAATCTCGATTATTAAAAGCGCTCTTGATAGCACAAGCAGGTGTGCAAGTTTGGCAGTGGAACAATCGGTCGCACACCTCAACAATGCGAGTATAAGTTGAGAATAGAAAGGGCAGCAGCTGCTCAGCCAGCTATTGCACGGTGTGCCAATTGAGATATAATCAAGGTAAGGTCCAAGGCGCCAGAGCATATAAGGCAAGAAGAACAAGCTATCACGCATGGATCCATGCAAATGGAAGCGTGGTGGGAGCAAGGAGGTGTGGACTATACCGACCAACCTGAGCAAACGCTTTGCGTTGAGGAGGTAGGCGGCGGGAGGCGAGTGCTGGAACGGCAACGCAGGGCCGTGGCATGATGAGAAATTCAAGCTCCACCAAGACAGTCGGCTTATGGACGCTCTTGGCTTGTTCAAGAGTCAATCAGAATTGGTGTAGGATCTCCTCACCTTTTTCCACACGATACAGAAACAGCAAGCTGCGCTGTTGTACAAGAGGGTCACTGGACTGGACCAGCTGTTGATGGGCCCCACAATCATATGCAAGTGAGTCGAGAGGCCAAGGTCAAGCCAGTGTGGGCCGCTGGCAGCGCTGTCAATCGCTGGTATCTGCAAGACTCTCGGGCCATCTCGACAATCATCTGTACCTCGATGAGGAGAGGGATCAGCTCGGGCCACTGTTGTGGGGCATCAATACGGGCGATGCGGCCAACCAATTGGGCCGACATGACGGCAATGCCTTCGTGAGGCTCACGCAAGAGGTTGAGCAGCTCACCACGCACATAGGCGCGTTCATCAGCAGGGATGGCGCTGTGGTCACAGAGAGAGAGACATTGGGTGGTGCAAGGGGGGGCAATGTATTAGGGCAAGCAAGGCCAAGACGAAAGGTAATGAAGATGCGAGCAAGCACTATGAGATTAAAGGCCTGTTCAATCGCTTACTCGGGAGCCATGGGTCGCCAGAAGCGCTCCACATTGTTCTTGAGCACGATGGCGGCTGTGTACCGCTGCTCCGTTTGGACGTTCGCGTTGGGCTGACACAAGATATCCTAGCGGGAAGCGATCGAGTGAGTTGAGAAAAACGGAAAAGCAAGCAGCGATGGGGACGTGGTGGCTTCAACAACCACCGCTGCCAAAGAACCGGCTTGACTGCAGTATCGACAACTCAATCTCGGGGCAGCCCTGTGCAAAGGAACGGGCACGTACGGCAAGAGCGGCATGAAAGCCCGCCTTGACCTCCCATTCGCGCAGTTGGGATTGTGCGTGCAGTTGCAGTTCCTTATTGGGACTGCCAGCCTGCAGCAGGCAGGCCACCACTTGATCACGATCCATTCCCAGGCTTGCTATCCAGGCGCCCTCTGGTCTCGCGAGGTGACGCTGCCCTTTTTCTCTCGTTCACTGACTCAATCACGAGCACGAGTGTGTGTGTGTGTGTGTGTGTGTGTGAGTGAAAGGCACTCAAAAAAAAAAAAAAATTGCTGTGAGAAGATTCGAGCCTAAAAAATCTGACATTGTCACGTTGCAATACATCTGCTTTTGAGACAGAGACAGAAATGAGAGAGGAGACAGAGACAGAAATGAAGAGCAAAGACACAAAGGAGAGACAGAGAGAGAGGCAGCAATTTGTTGTTTCGCGAATTGATCGTTGCTGGAGGCCTTTCTCGTGTCGTGCTCTGCATCTCTCATCTCTCAGGCCACATCGCAGCAGCAAGGATGGCGGCGGGCCAGGTGGTGCTGCTGACTCTGGCGGCTTGGATAACATACTGGATTGGCTTGTATCAACGAGCACTGCAATGGATATGCAGTCGGTATGGTGCTTGGCTTGTGGATCAAAGTTGGGACTTTGGGGTTCATCCGTTTGGATGATAATCATAAACTCTGACGCCAGCACCTCGCGCCGGCATCGTGCAGGTCACGGATCTGTGATCACTACTACAATTTAATTGGTTGCTGGTGTGCAGCCTTGGCCAGACTGGGCGTGGGCAGCACCATGGCTGGTGGCACGCCCCTCAGCCCCCAAGAGCCGCTCATTCTCTATGAATATGAAGGTATCACAGACTAACCTGCTGCCTTTCCAGGCAGCGGAGCGCCACCCTTCTCGCTCCTCACTTTGGGTGCGTACAACGCAACAATTTAGGCTGCCCCTACTGCTTACGAGTCCGTGAAGCCATTTCGGTTTTGAACCTGGACGTCATCATATACCCTTGCCCTCGGGAGACCCTGCGTCAGAACAACTTTTGTCGCGACTCGCGCTTTCGAGCCGTGGTCGAGCGCAAGGCGGGCCAAATTCAATTCCCTTTCCTCATTGACCCCAACAGCAACGGCCAGGCGGCGCAGGGGTAAGGCAGCCCTGACATGCTGTTGAGCAAGCCCTGTTGTGCTGGTCGAGCTGTTGATTGATAGCCTTTGAACCATGATTGATTGGCCGACCGCCAGGATGCTCGACTCAACAGCTATCATTGAATACCTGTGGACCACCTACGGCGCCGACGCCTCCCCTCCCCTAAACTATCGGTAGGTTCAAAGACACGCTTTTCGTCACTGTACACATGCATGTCAAGTCTTCAATCGTCCTCATCTCAGCACGCGGTGCCAAGCCTCGTGCATGCCAAGGTCCTGCAAGCTTTCTTTGGTATGCTGGACATTGCCTCGCGGCTGATCTGGCGGGCACTTCCGCAAAACGGGCTTCTACGCGCACCATCACGACAACCAACTCAGGCAAGTGGGACTGCTGCTTGGCTGCCTTGACCGGCCAAGCTCTGCGGCGGATGGCAAGGTCGTGCGCATGTCGAGTTGCGAGTAGCAAGCTCAATTTTTCCGTCAAATATTGGGTTGATAGATGCTCGAGCTGTGGGGTCGCGAGGGCTCACCATATGTTCAACTTGTGCGCGAGGCGCTTTGTACCCTCGAGCTCCCATACCGTTACGTGACAGTCCCCTTTGGGGCCGAGGAGGTAAGCTCATCGAATTTGCTCCTGTGTTGGCTTGCTTGCTCAATGTGCGCTTTCCCTGCTTCCAATCGCCACCTCATGTTCGATTCACTGCTGACATCTCACACGCACAACATGACCTTTCTTTTCCATTCTCTCTCTCTCTCCCTCTCTCTTTCTCTTTCTGGGGGTGATTGATTCCCAGAAACGCGCAACGTACCGCGCCATGTTTGGCCGCCACTTGCCGGAATGGCGGAAAAAAGCCAATCTTGTCATGATCCCGTTGCTACTGGACCCAAATACGGGTGCAGAGCTGGTCGAATCCCGCGAAATTCTGTCATATCTACGCAAGACGTATCAGGTGGGTGATCCACCTCGTGAGACGGTGGCAGACCTGCGCATCCCCACCAGCAAAAGCAAGCACAATTAATGTCTGCGTCTCTATCGAATTGATTGCCAAGCATCTCTGTGTTGTACTCCCGACAAGAATCCACAATTGAGCGAGCACGCATCCTTTGTCATTCAGTCAATTTTTTCTTCTTGAAGGCAAGAGGGCGGGCAGGCAATTGGCGCCTGTGTACGCCGATTCGTTTATGCCAAGGGCATGCCTGAGGTTGAATCCTTGGCCAGCAACCGGGAGCGGGCCGAGGCAATGCGCTTGAAAGCCTCTTCACTGCCGGGGGCGCGATTTTTGTCCGGGTGTACCATGGCCGCGAGGGTTTTGTACGCACGCATGACCTCGGCTCGTTGCGCGTCGGGCAGGAGCTGTAAGACCGCATAGTCGTCGTTTTTGGGGGCACGTAGGACAGTGTCTACTTGCTGCAGGTCTTCAGCACTAAATGTGGCTGTGACCTGCTCTGTGCGACCGTGGTAGACTTGTTGATAGACGGCCTCGATGAGCCAGGAAAAGAGCTCTTGGACACCCTGGCCCGAGGCCGCGCTTGTTTCAAAATACCGGTAGCCTTGCTGTTCGGCCCACATCTGGGCCTCACCGGCCGGGACTTGGCGGGCCTGCTCTCGGTCATTCTGATGCCCGACAATGGCAACGACGGCCTGTGCCAACTCCGAGGAAGGGGCGTTGTGCCGGAGCTCAGTCAGCCACTCGTGCACCAGCGAATCAAAGGTGGCTCGCTTGGTGACATCAAAGAGCAACAAAACGCCTTGGGGAGCATCGTAGAACTCGCAGCGAACTTGCTCATAAGCACGGTCCCCAGACAGGTCATAGAGGCTCACACGAAGGTCGGCATCCTACACCACCCATGCATGCACTCGTGAACAGAACAATGCAAGGCTGCTTTGGCTAGAAAGGCCGACCAAGAAGGATGCGGAAAAGCTGGCGTCGAGCGCAGATACCATACCGTGCGCTGAACGGGCGCGACACCATAGTCGAGGCCCACCGTGGGAATATACTTGGACACAAAGCGCCGTTCACAGTAGCGCTTGATGAGACAGGACTTGCCGACGCCTGCATCGCCCAGAGTCAGGAGCTTCACGCGTTGGATCGGCCGCAGCGCCGGGAGCTGCGGCCGCTTGCGCGGCGCCTCAATTGACGCCATGCGCTTCCGCCCGTTGCGACCATCAGGCAGACCAACCGCGGGCCCTGTGAAATCAAACCAGCTTCTGCGCCCTCCACCGACCACCGGCCCGACCCCATCCACCTCTCACCCCTGCACAAATTTTAAATTTACACACACATCTTGACGTTGTTGAAGTGGTTGGTAAGGCCTCAATACTTGCTGACAAATAACTCTGACATCATTCCACACAGCTTTTGTGTACATGTACATGTACATCCGGGATGTATGTGTGTATGTGCTTTTTTTTCGTTTTTTTTTTTTTTCGACACGGTACGTATGTCAGCGATGACCTATGTGCGGATGGAGGGGATCAGAGAGATCAGCGAGGACGTGATTTGCGGGGAGGGGCGCATGTTGGAGGAATGATCGGGACCTGACACACACACACACAGACAGAGCATTTTTTGAATCATTTGTAGGGCTGTTGCAACATCGGTACCATGGCTGCGAGCAGTTGGTCGGCCCAGGCGCTGGCGCTCACCAAGAAAAATCTGCTGCTCCTGAAGCGCCGGAAACGACAAACCCTGGCTCAGGTTGGTATGCATAGCCTTGAATGGATGTCCTTTCGCTCCACGATCTCAAGCCAAGCCTTTGCATCTACTACCATGCTAATTTTCGGCCTGAAACAGCTTTTAATTCCACTCTACATGGCGGGTGTGACCTGCCTCATCAATCTCGCCGTGACGGTACGGCCTTCCATCGGGCCCGGCACGAAACCGGTCAAGCCAAGGCTACACAAACCATCACATGCCTGTTGCCTGCTGGCTTTTACACACACTGGCATCATGGCGTACACACCCCTAGACGTCGAAGCATCCTGCTGTCAATGACTTTACTCCCATGCCAATGTTGCAAGAGCTCAACGTCGCCCCCAACCTAACTTTGGCCTACTTCCCCTTGAGGTAGGGCTATCCCTGTACCACTTTCTCTTGCCGCCACTTGAATCCTGCCGTGTCCACGTTGTGAAACTTGTCATGCCTGCACCTGGACGTTGCAATCCTACAAAATTATAGCGCTGCACAGCTGACGGATAAGGTCCAGCAACACCCTTATCTGACCGACCTCCAACTGACTGTGCGTGAGCGCGGCGTGCTGGCCTTGCCTGATGACGGCCCTTTTCTTCCACTGACTGATGTGTGATTCCATGTTTTGACGTTCTGGCTCACCTCGCCTCTCTCTGCACAGACGCAAGGCTTTGCCTCGAGCGATGCTTTTGAGTCTTGGTACCGTCAGAATTCAGACGGCCTCTTCGCGGCCCTCGAGTACGTTCACTTTGCACAGCGCTTGCCAAAGTTTTCGGCGCCAGCTGAGCTCGTACACTTTTGCATGGCATCGCCTCGCTCACACGCCCTTGCTTTCTTTTTGATCTTGTGGCGGAGCGTAGCTTGAATCAAGCCTTGGACGCTCAGCACATTGAAATCTACATGAAGGTATGACTAGACCTGCGCAATCAAGATTTGCATTCATTGTTGAGACCGTCCAACCAACGATCTGGCGTCAACTCCCATTGATAATCCAATTTTGTGCGCCGCGCCAAAACAACCCATGTAGACCGGTCGCGGCATGGCCCATGTTCCCTCAGCCTCTCGCACATGGGACTCTCCGGCCAGTTGTCACAATCTCAGCCCAGACATGGAAGCGTGTGGATCGGGTTCGTCTACTTCGTGCAATAAAGAATGATAATCATAGCTCTTGTATTGCGATTTTTGCACTCTTCCAATTTGCTCGCACAAGCCAATGTTTTCGTAGCCGCTTGCAATCACCGAGTGTTCCCTCACGCGCCATTCGAGACTTTGTTAGACGGATATTTGGACACTGGTCTTTTGCAGCTGGAAGCCGCCTTATTCGAAGTGCTGCACAACATTACGGCCCCCGATCTCGCCAATATGACGATTGCCAAAATGCCCATCCTCGAGTTTGTGGTAAGATTCACGCTCTGGCCCATGCGTGCTACATCATGTCTCGTATCATCTGAGGCATGTGCAACGTAACCTGTATGTAGGACAACTCGAAAGCACAGGTCTACGCGCCCATAACGGTCATTTTTTGCATCATGGCTACTAGTCCCTTAATTCAGTACCTAATGATCAACGTTGTCGCTGAAAAAGGTATCTCCTTTGGCCCGGCGTGCCATTGGCATGCTCAGCACTGATTCTTGACGAAAGAGTCATCCAAATGCTGATTACAAACGCCCGCTTCTTTCCATTTATTCATCTAAATGCCGATCTTCATAGAGCTGGGCATCAGAAACGCGCTGCTCATTATGGGCATGCGCAAATCAGCCTACCTCGTCTCCTGGCTGGCCTCGTATTTTTTGCAAAACGCCGTTTCAATCGCTCTGCAGGTCAGAGCCATTGGATGCGTACACGCCCTGTCCGTTCTGAGACTGACACATCGCTTTCTGATGTCAACTTCTGCTTGCCCCTCGGTGCTCTACCGCTGGTGGTTCAACAGACGACGATTTTGTGTCTTGGCAACGTATTTAGCGCCTCGGCTTGGATTCCCGTCTTTTTGCTACTTTTTTGCTTTGCCAACTGCTTGGCTACCTTGGGCCTGGTATTTGCTCCCTTTTTCACAGACAAGCGAGTATGTAGAACTAGCCCAGTTCCGGTCAAGTCATGTTTTCCTGCCATATCATTGCTTTGCCTTGTACAGATCGCGATTGGCTTTTGCTCACGCGATTGCCATGCTGCATGCCATCCGCTCTGTGCCTCACCGTGGCCATGTGCGTGCGTTCATAAAAGGTTGCTGGAGCTGCGGGTAGTCTCGGCAACACCATCTTCTCCTTGATCATCTTTGGAGTTAAGAACGTCACCGTTCCAGGGACAAAGGTACTATTTGCTGTTTCGACTGGATGATCCTAGTTTCGGTTCACCTCATTCGCCGCCCGCCCTCATCAATCACTTCCATGTTTTTGTGCGAATGGTAGTGGGCCATATCTGTGCTTCCTCCCTGCGCCATCAGCTTGGGTCTGACGACGGCTCTCAATGAGGACCAATTGCACGGCCTCTCTGTATCCACCATGTCTCGTGGCGAGTTTTCTGTGGGCAGTGCCATTATAATGTGCGTCATTTCATGTTACGCACGTCAACATGCAAAAGCCTGTTTGAAGACCTATCCCTGCTGGAGGCTCGTCGCCAATTGTGCCACTTTGCCTGCCGCACCAGAAGCTTTTGCTCAACACGATATGACTATGTAGGCTGATTTTGGACACTGTTTTCTACTTTGCGCTTGCCTACTACTTGAACGAAATTGTGCCAGGCAATGGGCAACGCAAGCCCTGGAATTTCATGTGCGCGCCAGCCAGTGAGTGTTCTTACCACCCACATTAGTGTCGTGGCGCTTGCTTTGATTATTAGCTCCCAGCGATTTCCTCATAACGTATTGCTCCACAGACTATTTCGATGCGGGCGAAGATGTTGAGGCCCGCTTGGATGGGGCACGAGAAGATGAAGCCGTTTACAGCTCGCTATCCCCGGGACTCGTCATAAAGAATCTCGGAAAAAAATTTCGTTCAGCTGATCGGTAAGGTTCTGTTTCCATGAGTACATGTATTTCAGTAGTTCCGGATGAAGGCGGTCGTGTGATCAGTCTCCTATGGTGCCACGTAACACAACGGTAGCAAATCTCTGGACGGGGTCTCATTCAAGGCTTACGAGAACCAGATCACCTGTCTACTCGGACATAATGGCGCAGGTGCTGGACTCTGGCATTCCGGCGTTTGATTAATTTGCGGATGGTAATTCAAATTGTTTTTGTCCCATGCGTTTCTGACAGGCAAGACAACCTTATGCAACATCATCACTGGCCTCGAGACCCCAAGCAGGGTACGTCTTTTAGTTCATTCTGAGGCGCTATGTTGTCCACCAAAGACTCACAGGTGTACGAGTTTTGCCCCGGCTGTTTCCGTGTCCTCGGGCTCAGGGTGGCGCTTTAGTTTTCGGCGAATCCTCCATGGAGCACACCGCAGCTGTGGGTGTCTGTCCACAAAAAGACATTCTTTTTGACGTATTGACTGTCTCGGAACACGTCGAGCTCTTTGCCGCCATCAAAGGAGGCTTTCACGGTGAAGACAGCGCCGCATCCAGTACTTTTGCTAGTCCAGAGGCGATGCTCAATGAGATTGATCTACTGGACAAGGCCGATGCTCCCGTGACGACTCTCTCTGGTGGCCAGAAGCGCAAGCTTTGCGTGGGGCTTGCCCTTGTTGGAAATCCTCGACTCCTCGCGTTAGACGAACCATCGTCAGGTGCGTTGTTGGAGCTCCCTTCTCCTGCTTGTCATCCCACAAGCTACATCTATGGTCTGAGAGTGTCGTTTGTTGTAGGTATGGACCCAGCATCGAGGCGTCAATTGTGGAGTGTTCTGCAAAAGTATCGACATGGCCGAGTCACGCTACTCACTACCCACTACATGCAGGAGGTGCGAAGGCGTGCGGCTTCTGTTTGCATATGCTTTCGCTCGGACGATGGCATATTCACCATCTGTCATAGGCTGATGTCTTAGGAGACCGAAAAGTTGTTCTTTCTCGCGGCCATGTCCAATGTGTTGGCTCTAGCCTCTTTTTGAAGAAGAATTTCGGCGTTGGGTACGTTCAACGGCGATCAGACGGGCTGCGTTGTCATGATGTTTTGCTTTCGCTTAGAATGATAATGAACTTGCTGCTCGCTCTCGCTCCTCTTGCCTTCTAAGGTACCACATCGATGTCACGGGTTGTCAAGCCACACGCATCAATTCGGAGGTATTAGGCCAAGCATTTCCAGCGTTGCGTGTGGAACTTGCTCGTAATGCCCGCTCAGGAACCATCACCGTTCCAAATGCACAACTTCGTGCTCTTCCTGAAATCCTTGAACAACTTGAGGCTAACGCTTCGACTTATGGCTTGACAAGCTTTGGATTGCGCATGACAACTCTTGAAGAGGTGTTTTTGGAGCTCGAGAAACGCGAGAACAACGAGGTGGCTACTGAATCAGAAAAGCTTTCCCCTCGGCTCGCAAAGCCGAGTGCATCACTGAATAACGGGCAAGCTGGCAACATTCAACGCGAGGATTTGACTTTGCCACTCTTGAACGAGCAAAGTGCGGCTGGTTTCTCCGAGTCATTTCCGTCTGCCTTCCGAGGCATGCTTAAGCTACGTTTGCTTCAATCGGTGTGTTGCGTGCACATATACATGCACACATACATGCAGGCATCCAGACATAAACAGACATACACGAAGGCATGCCACAGCTCCAGACGTTGGCATGAAGAAAGTGCACGAGACGCACGACACTCTCTCATGTTTGTTGGGTACCTTGATAGGCTCGCGAGTGGCGTGCTCTCATCTTTCAAGCCGGGCTTCCCATCCTTTTGATGATCATTGCGTTGACCGTTGTGGAGAAGCCACAGTCATCAACGGACCAACTTTTACAGGGCAGCAGCTACAACTACACACTTGATTCGCTGGCTGATGCAGATCATCCACTGAGCACGACCTTGCCTCAAGGGGGAAATGCTCATTTTCTAACTGCTGCAGCTTTGAACTCCTGTGGCTCGCAGAACTCATTCACGACGCGAAGCACCTCGTCAGATTTTATTTGGACGGGGCCAAATAGCAGCTTCTTTGAAACTTTCAATGCCAGCCTGATTGGCGTGAATTCGGAAGCCAACCAGACAACATTGTACTACAATGCATCAGCCGTGCATATGCTTCCAACCGTGATGCAGCTGCTGTACAACTCGCGGGCCAGTAGTCAGACGACAAAGTCCCCCTCATACTGCACATCCCTTCGAGGCCTACCCACCAACGAGGCTTATACTTGGGATGCTTCAGTTTACTACACTGTACTTTTGATCGGAATTGCTCTCAGTGCCATTCCCGGCGGCTTTGCCGTCCCAGTCGCTCAGGATAAACACTCGCGCATGCGCCATTTACTGTTCGTATCAGGAGTGACCAAACTACAGTACTGGGGCGCCTTTTTGCTGGTTGACTGTGCAATTTTCATGGTGCCTGTGCTCGCCGCCGTCATCCTCGCATTGGCAAAAAACGTAACTGCGATTATTGGCCCGGCTCTGCCCGCCTTTATTCTCGCCGCACTGCTATACATTCCTGTCAGCATCCTATTCTCCTTCAACATGAGTCGCCTCTTTCCTGATCCAGAGACAACGCAGTCCATGTGGCCCGTGATGAACAACTTCTTGGGCTTCATCCCATACGTTATTGTGGGAGTGGTGGACGGCAGCTCTTCTGCCAACGTTGCTCGCATCATTCATTACTGTTTTTCCGCCTTGGACCCAGCATACACCTTCTCAGGCACGCTGTACTACATGTTTCGACTCAAGACCGCCAATGATGCACAGCTTGATGCCTCTTCTTTGCAAGCGGTGGACTATTTTAAGATTGAAAACGTTGTACTTCCGACCATTCTCATCACCCTTGGACACCTTGCTTTGCAAGCTGCTTTGCTCTGGTGGCAAGAACGGATCATCAGCGGCGATAATGCTGCAATTACTGATGGTCAGCAAGGATCTCTTGCGCTTGGGCCCTCTCCCTTCGGGTTTATGCGTTGAATTTGTTGCTTTTGATTTGCACCAAACTCACCTGATTGACCGCTTGGTATTTTCTTGTTGATGCGCTTGCCAGAGGAGCGCAAGCTCTTTCTCAAGGCAGAGGACGTTCAAATGGAGCATGACATCACTTTGAGCAGCACGGATCGAAGTCTCCGTGTTTGTGATGTGTATAAGGTGAGGCGCCCGGCCACTTTTACTTGGAATTGCGCTTCAGTTCTGAGCTAACATGTGAACATTTCAAATTATTTGAATGCTGAAATCATGTATGGTGCCAGCGCTACGGAACTTCATCTGGGTCCTTCAAAGCCGTCAATGGCGTGTCCTTCTCCGTGGAAGCCGGAGAAGTTTTTGGGTTGTTGGGTTCGTGCCAAGACTCAACTCTACAATGTCGTTGCTGGCTAATTCTTGGCACAAGGAGGATAACGACTTGATGCCAAATTTTGCCATGTCCTCAAGCTGATGTCGTCATCTCTCATGGCGATCATGATGCTTTACAATTTTGCGTGCAGGCCCGAACGGGGCTGGAAAAACCACAACTATTGCGATGTGTTCGGCAGAAGAAGCTCTGACCGCTGGTGACATTGCAATTGGCAATCACATGGTTTCGCTTGACCCTAAGGCTGCATTTAAGGTATTGTCGACATGGGCTGCTTACGTGCGTATCCAACTTCTGGCTTTCTCACCCTATGGATGTCTTGGTTGCCGCCTATTTCAGGACATGGGCCTCTGCCCGCAGTTTTCGGCGCTTTGGAAAAATATCACTGTTGGCGAGCATCTTGAGTTTTTTGCCAGTGTCCATGGCTTACCGCGCAACGCTCCAAGGGACTGGTTGGAGTCGATGGGCATTGCAGAATACGAGCACTATCAGGCAAAAACCTTGTCTGGGGGTTCGTTCACGTGCAATTAACTTGGTTGCATTCTCTGGCACACGCTCTTTTCTTTCTCATACCACAATGTGTTGTTGCACAGGCACACAACGCAAGGTTTCCTTGGCTTTGGCTCTGATTGGCGAGCCGAAAGTGGCATTACTTGACGAAGTGTCGACGGGATTGGACCCGGGTTCACGACACATGATTTGGTCCTTAATTCGCACACATACTTCGCAATGTGCTACTGTTCTGACGACACACAGGTTTGTTTGCTTCTCATTCACAAATTTGTTGAATGGCTTTTTTGATCTCTTACGCGGTGCTCTATTGTTTTCTTCAGTATGGAGGAGGCCGAAGCCCTTTGCAATCGAATTGGTATTTCCCTCACATTTCCCTCGCTTGTTAATTGCTGATCTTCTGATTGTCGTTTCCTTGAGAGCTTGCTCAAATAATATGCGGTCTTACGAAGCCCTTCGGCGGCACTCGTAAAAGACTCCAACTCACGGCGATGTTATTGTGCAGGCATCATGGTTTTTGGAGAGCTCAAAACTGTTGGTACAACTCAGGTAGGTCATATTATGTGTTTGTATCGCGTATGTTTGCGTCGCTTGCATTTTGACTAGGCTCTTAATCTTAATTTGTCATCCGACTTTGCGCTCACTTTGCAGCATTTGATCACACGTTTCGGGGATGGCTACATGATTGATATCCAAGCACGGTCGGAAGAGGCGGTAAGCGATGACCCATGAAGTGCCCGCATGTGCTTGTACACCAAGCTTTCTTGGTGAACACAACCTGAGTTGTAGTAATCCTTGGACCGCCCAGCGTTGCCGCCTCATCCGCGCATCGTGCTTATACGTTGAGTTGTTTCATAATAGGTGGAAACAGTGCTCGCCGTACTGCGCGAGAAGCATGATACTGAGCTCAAGCTCAAGTATGGAAGCTTTGTACAACTCTTGATTCGACTCAAAAGCAGCGAATTACCAGACTTCTTGCGCATCTTCAATACCCTTGTCAAGGAGGGCACTGTTGCACACTACGGTGTCTCACAACCTTCACTTGAACAGGTACGCATCAATTTTAACTGCCCAATTCGCCAGATATCACGTTTTCAAGGCCTTAGCAATTTGTCTGTGGCACCTGCGCGTGTTAGGTGTTTCTTCATGTGGTCGAAAATGCCGAGTGCCGCCGTTGAGAGCAAAATTTTGATTTCTCGGCATCCATGTGCCGATAACAAAGGCTTGAGCCTTCGGTTTGACACCGCAACGAACAATTCAGAACGATTAATGATTAATGATGTTACATCCCCACTGTCAGGCTCCAGGACGTCTGGAGGCCAGTTTTGGGTTGCGAGGAAGTGCGTAGGTTTGAGGAAGCGTTTTGAGAGGGGTTGGAGAGACGTTCTTCGGGACGGAACTTAAGGTTTAATAGTGTCTTGAGGCCAATTGAACCAGCTGCGGTCGGCAAGCATTCACAGTGACCAGACCAGGTGCACCATTAAAATAGCTGTAGAGTCGCTCAATTCCAAGGATAGGGAAAGTGCCACCTGTGCCCGACACGTGCCCGCTCTGCAGCAACAAGACACCTCAGCCGCGACTGACCCGCGAGCACCTGTTGACCTGCCGTCCCATCAAGCGTCACAACGCCCTTCGCGACGAGATGGGCCGCCTGCTCAGGTACGCCACCCTCTCCCATGTCTGGGTGGAAAAGTCTGGCTACAACGCCAACGGTCAGAGCTGCCGCATCGACCTGCACTGCCGCAACCCCTTTCCCGGCGGTGCTCTGGGCCCAGCTCTGCCCGACCTGGGCATTGACGTGACTGTGCGCACAGCCCAACCCCCGACCACCTCGCAAGCCTGCATCAAGGTGGGCGCTGCCCTTCGCCGAGCCGAAAAGGAGAAGCGCGAGTACTACACCGGTTTCAACCATGGAAAAACTCTGATCGTCCCTGCGGCGATGACGACAACCGGTGGGTTCGCCTCCTCCTTTGTGGATCTGCTTGGTCAGCTCGCCCGCTGCGCCGAGGCCCGTGGTGTGTACCAGCCGGGGCTGGATGAGGCCTTTGTTCCTCGGTGGAAGGGTCGCTTTGCGGCGCTGGTCCATCAGATGAACGCTGACCACATCCAGCGCCACTTTGGCGGTGTCTGCCTGCGCTCGTCGTAGGTAGGCACCGCCTCGGGGGTCCCTCTGTGGGGATCCCTGTGTGCACCTGTCGCTCCCTAGGTGGTTTTCGTTGTGGTCTTTTGATGGCTTGACTTGTATTTTTGTTTAATTTTGCTTCAATTTTTGCTGTATTTGTATTAGAGGCACAATCTGAGACGGTATACTTTACCACGTTGTGTGTCCTCTGGTACTCGATGTTGTCCCACCTTGTTGTGTAACATCTGGTTGTACCATCTTGTTGTGGCATCTGTTGGTCCCAACAGATTGCTGATATCGCTTCCACCTGTCTTCAGTGTGATAGTCCATTCTCTGTCTCCACTGTGTGTGTGTTTCCACCTGCTATAAATGGGAGCGATCTCCCTGGATCGGTACCATTTTCCTTCTTGACCTCGGTCGTTCCACTTCCCTCCTTCTGTCTTGTTCTGTCTTGTTCCTTCGCCTTGCTTCAATCCATGTTCTCGTATGCACTTCGATTGGTTGGATACCTCTGTGACAATCGCCTTGTCCACACACATAACACTGTACTGGACATACACCTTTAATAGGTTATGGGCCTCGGTTGTGTACTCTTCCAACCTCTCTTTCGTTACCCTGCCTCGCTCTTTCCAGCTGCTCTGTTCCCCTCCTGCTTCCTCCCTTTGTCTTCTGCTTGTATTGTGAAAACGTTTCAAAAAAAATCATCAAAAACCTCTTTGTTCCTCTGTTTTGAGGCAGTGCAAAATTGTCATACTTTTTGTTTGTTTGCTTGCTTCCTTGCTTGTTGTTGTTGTTGTTGTTGTACCTTTCCCCTCCCTTGATCATCGCCACCATGCCATTTAGTGTTATGCATACTCCTGTTGACCAGCGAGTCACTCGTAGCCGTGGCGCTGTGCAAAGCGCTGCTCGCGCTGCTGCCACCAGAAATTTTGAGGCTCACACCGACCTCACGCGCGACTTCCAGCACGAAGAAGATCATGCCGAACCCGACGCTCTCGATTGCTTGGTCAACGAGCATGAGGAAGAGGAAAGGCCGAAAATGGCCGCCACCGGGTCGCACCCGGCCACGCCTTCGACAGGAGCCGCTCCCGTCGAGGCTACCGCGAGCGCTTCTCGCCATGCCC